AATAATTAAATTTTAATATATTTCCTTAACAACCATGCACTATAACGATATTTCACTCAAACAGACAAGTTCTATATGAATTTCTTTTTATGTTATATTCTTTTACCTCTTTATAAATAACATCTATCATTATAGCAGTACACTCTTCGTAAAATTACTTCTTATTATAATTATTTTATTGGATACATAAAGTTTATAATTTATAAGGTCAAATGAGGAAATTGAAACGTTAAAAATTCTTGTGAACTTGGAATATAAAAAATTAAAAGATGAAGGTGTAGACCTTTTTATTTTGCCATTTTTTCAACATAAAGAGATTGGAAATAATTGGGTAATTTTAATCTATAAATGTCGAACAAATGTCAAATATTATTATTGATGCATAACAACTATTTCCTATAACATGTAAAAACAATCAGAACTAACGAGGCTATTATATAGATATTTAAATGTATAAAACACAAAGATATATATAACAAAAATCACAAATGAAAAAGAGATAATACATTGTGTGATTATATAATTTAATATCTCATGAACAATAAATTAAATTACAGAACTTATAAATAACCTTTAAATTGGATCAATTGTTTAAGGTATAGATGTCTAGAAAGATAAAACGAAAAAACAAAAACAGCAAAAGAAACTTTTATATCCACAATATAGCTATTGGGGCACGGGTAAACCTCTACTAGTATAACTATATAATAAGTAAATAACTATATACGACAAACGGCAATTTCGTAAATGTCACTTACTTTTATGAGTAAATTGGTATTGCCCTCCGGAAAAGACGCGTGTACAGTTGATGTTTTAAAATATTTTCTTCTTCCTCATGGCAGTTCCACATTGATCTCTTCCTCACTCTATTTTCTTTCCTTCTCTGCTGCCCTTCTGGATATCATTTCACAAACTCCTCTATTTGTATGTTTACCTTAAAATTCGAGTAATAATTAAATTTATTTAGTAGTTTTAATGATACGTGATTTAATCTAATACTAATTGACAAACAAAAAATTGAAATAGATAATCTGAATAGTAAAACAAATCAAACCAGTATTCTAGTAGCGCTTTCGACCTCGATTCGAGATGGTCTCGAGGTTAGGTAAGAAGAACAGTAAAGAACAATAATGAACAGTAATGTATAGTAAGTAAAATAGAGAGAAGCGTTTTTGTATATTTTTATCACTGAATCAATGTCCCTTACAAATGAATATGGTCCCTCTTTATATAGTAGAGTAATCCTAAATAAGGTACAATTCTAATCACGAAAACAATTCCCATGATTGACGTCAATAACCGCTTGATTTCATCTGTTCCGAGATTTTCGCCGAGATCTTCGGTCGGTTGCTAATATCTCGTCATTCTGTTATTATGCCTTACTCGAACACTACAAAAAAAATAATGTTTAGCGACAACCGTATTCCGTCGCTAAACCACTATTTTCCGTCGCTACAGTGTTTAGCGACGGATTAGCGACAGATTCAATTTTATCTCTAAAATGCTTGTAGTTAGGCTCATAACGACGAAAAATACCAAACTGTCGTAGAATTAGTGACGGATGAGCGACGAAATATATCTATAGCAAATTTTAGCGTTGGAAATAACCGTCGCTATATTGCTTGTTTCTGTCGCTATTTTTGACGACTTTTGTCGCTACAATACATAACAAAATTCGTCGTTTGTTCTTAATAGCGACGAAATTGTCCGTCGCTAGTCGTGTTATAGCTAATTCTCCCTACTTTTTGCAACAAAAACCTTTTGTCGCCAATTCGTCGCAAGATTTAATTTTACGCGATAATTTTAGCTACGGAAAGTATCCGTCGCTAATTTATTTTTAATATATTGCTAATTTTTTAAAATACTTTTTATTTATTATTTTAAATGTACTCTGTTCAAGCATATTACATAAAAGCTCTTAAATACACTTAATAAAAAGTCACTGATATTAATATAAATTAACAATATATTCAACAAGTTCAAAAATATATAACATAATGCATATACCAGTATCGTTAAGTACAAAAAAATCACAAGGACCAACAATAAAGTCCAAACAAAATAGGCTAACTATGCGAGGCTGGAGAGTTACGGTCATCATGAGAACCCAATGCATAAACCTCATCAATGTTAGCAGCAGTAGAAGATGTAGGGATTGTAGGTGCCACATCTAATGGGTGGTTGGTAAGATCAGTATTTGGCTGATGCGAGGGTAAGGAAACTAATTCGCGTACCCGCTCAACGATTACAGGAACTATATGATCTGTCAGTGCAGGAATCAATTGCATCACTGATTCATCCAGATTCCCTGTCGGTGTTGATTGAGTATTTGGAGGTGTTGCTGACGATGTAGCATCAGATCCGAAAGAGTCATGAAAATTTGGCCCGTAGTAGCATTTTGCTTGAGATCCAAGACCATATACTCTTCTTTTCTTTTCTCTTCCTGCGGCTTGATAATATACTTTACACTGATCAATATCAGATTGAGTCTGTGTTTGTTGTTGTAATATCTCCTTATATTTTTCCTATAGAAGAGTTAATAATTAGTGAAATAAAAAGACTAAATAATATTGAGCATTCAATTTACAAAATGAAAAAATATATGAAAGTAAAGCCAATAAAATTATTTAAAAAGTTATCTTACATGTACGATTCGGGATTTCACAGCAACAAAAGATTTTCCATCATTACCATGTGTATGGACGTGCAAATGCAACTCACTTGGTGTTGGATCTCGACCATTTTTAACAGCCTATACAAAAGTTATTCAATTAAGAAGATAGACCTTAAACTGTCAAGAATGAAGTTTAGTTATCAATTTTGTCTTTATATAACTAATTAGGTGACAGAAACTATAAATTTGCAATTTTGCATGCATCGACCAACATCTCAAGAGTGGCACATTTTTTTGTTCTGCTTCTTCCATTTTCAAGATAATTTTTGTATAGAGCAAACAATATTGCTTAAAGAACAAAGATGTAGCTAAACATATTGAACAAAACACCTCAAGAGTTTGAAATTCCACAGTAGGCAAGTGACATTCCCATCATGACCCCGTAATGAAACAATTTTTGCCAACGATCATAGTTGCCTAAACTCACGGTTGATTTGTCATGTTGGTTCAAACTATAGAAACTTGTTAGACTTCAATATAGTACGAGGACTTAACACATATCATAGGCCTATCTTCTTGTATTCTAAGATAATTGTGCTAAAATCGGGGGAGGAGATATCAAGCAGCTCAAATATGAGTAACTTTTGCTCTTTCGGTCTGTATTCGATATCAACCTTCACTTTATGGCAGACCATGTCTACAAACAATCCTAAGATCAGCAGTAACAATCTAGGCTCATCGAATCTCTACAAACTGTCATGCACTATATAATTCCTTTTGATCTAATAAAACATTAGGAGGAAGTATTACCCAATCTGCTAAACCTCTGACTAGCTAAAGCTGATTCAAATTAAATTAACGGTATACAAAATCCTAGAGAAGAAATTCTCACACTAAATAAAATATGAGTCCAATGATTGCAATACATTAAACAAAAATTTGTCAATTTGAAAATAAAGCAGTGATAGAGAACTAGAAGATGGATAGAGGAAAAAGAAGAGGTGAAGATTCAGAAGATGACGAGAGCTAGAAACAGAGCAAATCAACATCCAGAAGTGTTTGCATACAGATGGATAGACAATGGCACATGAAATTTCACATGGTTTTGCCTACTCTATTATTGTCAAATAACTTGGACCATAAATTTTGTTGAACAACAACACTATGCCCTACTGCTTCTTATGATTTGGAGCATAAAAAGACACCCTTAAAATAACATCCACAAGAATGGATAAATTTGATGATTTAGTCCAGGACCACCTGGTTTAGAGGTGAGGTGACAAAGAATGCCAGATATAAATAGCAACAGAAATACCACAAGAGAAAGAAAGATAACATGACATGAAATGGAAGAAATACATTTAAAGTTCTACTTTAGCTTAGTCCATTTGTTGTTATTTTGCACATAAAATGGAAGAAATACATTAATTTCTTTTTTTTTCAGTTGGAAAGCTAGACAACCAACCATAGCTCAAACTAGGACAATTTCAGCTATCAATTTACTCCATAACTGTCTCAAAAAACAGTTGCAAACTTAATAACTAAACCAATCAGTTTTCCAGGAACATGATTTGATTTTAATACTTCAAAACTGGTTTTCAATCAGTCTCTAGTGATTCAAACTCAAATCAGCTAACTTCAATCAATTTCACAATAGTTATCAACAAGGAATAAGCTTGGACACTCAAAACAGTGTAAGAACTGAATCAGATATTTTTTATACACTTACAAGTCTCTTGCGATGCTCTCCGACACTAATAGGGCCACCTGTGTGAGTCCCAGTGGCAATTCCGCTCCTAGCACAATGATTTTTTGCATTTATTTCTGACTTTTCAATATACTTAGGATCTTTCCAAAGTCTCAACCAACTTTGTCACACATTATTTGGAATAGAGTCCGGTTGCACCCTATTTGATTTTAGTTTGCTAACAAAATCACTATATCTTTTTGCTGCCCTACGCTCCCATTGGACCTGCACCGCACTATCAATTGAAGAATCCCAGTAGAATACCTTCTGAAATAATTTTATAAGGTAATAACATTAATAAGTTACATATAAAAGTTAATATACTTTCTAAATCCAATTATGATGGATTATACCTTGAATTCTCCAAAATAATTTTTTTTATCTCATCTGAGACGCGTTTCCAGTTGACTCCATTAGGATCAAATTCATGCCTGAAAAACTTAGTTATACACTCAGAGCATTCATATGAAGGCTCTAACCTGAACAAATTAGAAGACATTATTTAAAGGTATACCATATATCAATAAAAATATACCAAAAGTAATAGTACAAGTATGGACAAACCCTGTAGGAGAAATAGTAAGAAGCGGTTGTGGCCCTCGGGTACTGCTACACTCAGTTTCGCCTATTATGTTGTTCTGAGAAGATGTACCCTCGCCTATTGTGTTGCTCTGATTAGGGGTATTTGGAGATGGTTCCAAATTAATAGTTGGGGTACTACCATGGCCTGATGTTTGAATAGGTGACGTACTACTAGGACCTAATGTTTGAACTTGATTGATGTGATCTAGTCCACCTGAAGAACCTATATCACCTTGTTGAGAATTAATTGTGGGAATGGGAACAATAGGCATATTTTCACGAGTAGCAAAATTACCCCTAACTGAAGATTTACCTACACGGCCTGTGCTACCTCGACCTCTACCTCGAGGCATATCTACAAAATAAATAAATAAAAGAAGGATATGAAACAATGCATATCTAAATAACATATGGCATATGAAGCTTCAAAATAAAATGTTCTGCTAAAGACAATATCAGAAAGACACTATTAAATTGATACAAAAAGACATAATACAATATAAAAAGTACCTGCACTATCCAATGCTTGAACTACTCACTGAATTGTTGAATTTGATAACTTCTTTATACCAAAATACAACGATCTTGGCTCCAATTAATTCTGAATTTAGACAGATTAATCAGGTAACACTATTAAGTTGATAATAAATATTATTCTACTGCTACAAAAAGAAGAGTCAGACTAATGTAAAAAGAGGCACAACACAACGTAAGCTAGAAGAGTACTATACCATTTAGATTACTACAAATGTGGTATTCGATTTGATTCTCTATAGATTATACTACAAAATAGATACATGATTTATAACATACCACACAAATTACTAGAAAAACAAAACTCAATAAAAATATAGTAGTGCATTTTTATCAACACACTAGTCATCATTTGTTTCTTCTTCAAACTCTTCCTCAGTTTCATACTCATCCTCAGTTTCATACTCCTCATTTTCATCCTCAGTTTCATACTCATCTTCAGAAGATTCTTCTTCGAACTCTTGATGCTCTATCAATAATCCATCATCAATGGGTTCAACCATTTCAATTACATCATGCAAGATTATATTTTCATCAGTGGTGAAATTCATATCTATCAAATGGACTTCAACTTCTTCAACTTGGAATGAAAGATTCGGTTCTGGAGTTGATGTTATTGCCTCATCAGGAAGTTCAATAACATCCTGAGGTTTAACTTTCAAAACAGCTACCCAATCATCATTGTCCTTTTTCGTGCTAGGATAAGGCATATAACACACTTGAGTTGCTTGCATCGCAAGAATAAAAGGTTCGTACTTTTTAAATGACGGCGATGGTTCACATCGACTAATTTGTATTGATTATGCTCCTTGACACCAACATTCACAGTTGGATCAAACCATTCACACTTGAATAACACGGTTTGCTTTAAAGGTTCTTCGCGGTATTCCACTTGTATAATCTCTTGTATCCGTCCATAATAGTTATCAATATTTGGATCTGAGATACAAACTCCACTATTAATTGTTGATCTTGCACTACCATGACATTCCGTGTGAAATTTGTATCCATTAACAAAATACACCAAATAGCATTTTGCGCTTATTAATGGTCCATGAGCAAGACTACGCAAGAATTGGTTCTCAATGTGATTGCATCGAACCTATTTCAAAATAATTATAAGACTTAGTTAAATATAACAAGCCAATTCAAGTACATAATTTCTTAAAAGATAATGATTTTTATAGTATTACATATTCCTTGAACCATATAGCAAAACACGTTTCGAGACTCTCACTTATTTGATCCTGAGACAGATTGGGGAATTCTTCTTGCAACCGTTGTATGTGCATACTTTATTACAACAAAATAAGTTAAATACAAACTCAAAATATATGGATATATTTATTATTATTAAAAAATGATACCTTACAAACGGCTCAACCTCTACACAATATAGTAGAATATAAGTTTGGGCTGCCTTGATTTCTTCGAGGGACAAACTTCTCTTTTTTCCTTCTCCCCATAGTCGGCCTGGATGGGTGAATATTGATAAATTTCCTTCAAGATCTTCCATAACACCACCATCATCATTAAGGGCCACATTATGATTACGTGCCATGACATGAGGTTCAAAATAATGAGAAAATAATTGTGTTGATTTCATCATCAAGTATGCTTCACAAATTGAACCCTCGACACTAGCTTTATTCCCTATCATTTTTTAAGAGTTCGAAGGTACCTATACAAGTAAATGGATAGACCATTAAATTCATAAAGTCATGTATAGCATACTTGTCATAATAAGAGCATAAAAAATTTATAACCTCTCAAAAGGATACATCTATCTATATTGTACAGGTCCAGCAATCCTTGCTTCATATGGCAGGTGTACAGGCACATGTTCCATTGAGTTAAAGAATCCAGGAGGAAATATACGCTCTAACTTACACAAGATCTGTGGGATGTCTGCCTCTAATCTCTCCATGTCCGCCACTCGAAGAACAATCGAGGTGAGATCCTTAAAAAATAAGCTCAATTCCGTAAGTGCTTGCCACACGTTACTAGGAAGTAGCTCACGAAAGGAAATAGGCATTAATCGTTGCATGAACACATGACAATCATGACTTTTCATACCAAATAATTTATACTTGTTTATGTCTAGGCATCGACTCTAATTCGAAACATACCCATTTGGAAACTTCACATTTTCCAACCAATTGAACAAGACAATTTTTTTATTCTTCTCTATTGTATATGCAGCTTTGGGATAGCTTCCATCAATAGGATTCTTTGCCAATTGCGGCCGATCGCAATAGTTTACCATATCTTCACGTGCCTTTGGATTGTCTTTTGTTTTGCTATCAACATTAAGAACTGTGTTAAATACATTATCCAAGACATTCTTCTCAATATGCATGACATCGAGATTATGTCGGATCATGTTAGAGCTCCAATAAGGCAAATCCCAAAAGATTCTTCTCTTTTTCCATCCACAAGACCTAGAAATTCTCCCATTAACTTCTTGTGCATCTAGCTCAGTTACTTTTCTCAGTCCCAACTCACAAATTTGGTTCAAGATTTCCTCTCCTGTTCTAAGGGGTGGTAGTAACCTTCTGACATTCTGACCTTTATGAAAATTTGTACGATCTCTCCTAAACGAATGATTTTGGTCAAGAAACATTCTATGACTGTCAAACCAAGTTGTTTTCCCACCATGACGTAATCTAAAGGATTGTGCTTCCTCCATACAATAAGGACATGCTAAGTTACCAGCAGTACTCTATCCAGATAACATAGAATATGCTGGAAAGTCATTGATTGTCCACATCAAAGCGGCCCTTAATTGAAAATTTTGTTTTTTTGAGATGTCAAATGCTTCTACCCCCATCTCCTACAACAAGGTCAATTCCTTTATTAAAGATTGTAGATAAACATCATTTTTTTGTTTAGGGTTGTTTGGCCCTCGAACAATGACAGTTAAGAACATGTACGCCTCTTTCATGCACATCCCTGGAGGCAAATTGTATGGAGTGACAATCACTGGCCATGAAGAGTATTTCCTCCCTGAATGGCCAAAGGGCTGAAAACCATTAGTACATAATCCCAACCTCACATTTCTTGGTTCAACAGCAAAAAAGGGATGAGTTTCATTGAAGTGTTTCCAAGCCTTAGAGTCTGATGGATGACGCATTATGCCCTCCTCTTGTATGTGCTCATGATGCCATCTCATATCAGCGATTGTAGCATGAGATGCATATAATCTCCGCAATCTAGGAATCAAAGGAAAATAATATATTTTTTTGTAAGGGATTAATTTCCTCTTACGAGAACCGACATGACGTTTGTACCTCTGGTGGCCACAAAACTTGCAAGATGTGAGGTCCTCATCTTCACCCCAATACAACATACATCCAGATTATAACAATCAATCTTTTCAACTGGCAAACCCAAGCTACGCACTAGCTTCTTGGTCTCATAATAGTTATCAAGCATTGTGTTATCTTCTGGTAAAGCCTCTTTCAACAATTGCATCATTTGATTATAACCTCTTTGTGATAAAGTATTCTCCATTTTAATATTTAGCATCATGGAAACTACTGCGAGTTGAGAGAGGGAAGAACCAGGGTATAATTTTGCATCAGCGGCCTGTAGCAAATTATAAAACCTTTGGCACTCAAGATTTGGCTCCTCCTCCATTGAAGGATTAGGCTCTGCCTCCATTGAAGGTTCATAAGAATGAGACGACTCAGGTTCAATATTATTATAAGACGTCCAACTCAAACCATGGCCAAAATTGGGTCCAGCTGCATCCAAGACCATTTGTCGATATAGATTCTCATATCCCGATTCAGGTTGAGCGCCACCATGCAAATCACCACTAGAAGACATCTCACCAGTCATATTTTTTTCTCCTTGATACTTTCAAAGAAAATAGTTTTCAACAAATCCATACTGATAAAGGTGCAATTTAACAGTTTTAACATCCATGTATTTAATGTTGTGATATTTTTTACATGGACATCTAACATTGTCACCACTCATGCGATTTCGCTGAGAATAAGTAAACTTGAGAAACTTGTTCACACCAGTTATGTAACTTGAATTAATACCCCCTCAACCATCCAACCTTTTGTACATCCAATCACGCTCTAGATTGTCCATGTTCCTATTTAATATTAAAATAAACAAGACCTTAGAGTTCTTTATTTAATAAGACATCAGAATGCTTTCTAAAATGAATAACAAGTTGACATCAGAATAAGCTGAGAATTACTAACACCCCAATCTTGGAATGAAAACAAATCTTGGAATGCTCAGTTCCTTTCTTTGACCAAGTAAACTTAGAGCTTTGTAATGTGTTGCATAATACTTTGCTACACATCATTGTTTATTATGGTATTACTTTACATGCTATGGATTTACAGAATATTGTTTCATTTTCTGCTTTTGGCTTTGTAATCTCGAAAATGTTATTTTCTACTTTTGGAATGTTGTGGTTGTTTTAGTCCATTTTGTCTTGAAGAATCTTTGTGGAATGAAACGAAAAAAAAAATGAAAGTGATTTGTTTTAATTTGCAAACAAACTCATTACAGGTTTCCTCATTCTTGTTGGATTCTTTGTGTTGTTATTCTCCAATTTCTTGTCTCTTCTTCTTTATATTATATACACACTTCTCCAATAGTCTTGCAAATAGGAACACAGAATTGTCACTTTCTATTTTAATGACACTGAAACTTACAATAATATTTAACAATAAACTTCAATTTTTAATTTCATACTCCATAAGTATCAATAAAGTATCAAGCTGGCCTAATTAAATTTTATTTCATATTATTGATTAGCTCATTACATGCAACACTAATTAACCCCATAGCCAATGAATATAAAGAGAATAAAAAAAGACATATAAGGTTAAAGGTACGCTTTCAAGACACTAGAACTTGATAAAATATTCTGCACTCCCAATTTGATAAACTTTCTTGGACCAATCTCCTCATTTCTTTACTCAAGCGAGATTGGATCATATTCTCACTTCTTTTCTTGACCGACACTTCGATTTAACATTCGTGGGTGTAAGTAAGATTTCAAATTTCTTTATTCTCTTTACATTCTGTTCTTATACTTCTTTTTTTCTGACTTCAGTTTTAGCAAAGTTGAACAATGATTCTCGCCCAGATCTACAAGACATGAATGAAATCACAAAGAAGCTTACTCTTTCGTCTGAGAATCTTGCGGAGCAGCAACACACGACTTCAAATTTTAGAATTCTGCAGCAAAAATCTTGCAATTTCGAAAGTTTTCTTCTATTTTTCAGACATTAACCCTAGATTCACGCCCAATTTTTTGTATTTGAAGAAAAAAAACTTACATTGTTGAAGAGGATTAAAAGTGGGAGTCTGATAGAGAGGAGATAAAGTGGGCGTGTTTGTGCCCTAATTGTTGGAATGTCTTTTAACTAGGATAATTTTATTTTTAGGATGAAAATTTTAGCAACGGAAATAGCGACGGACCTAATTTCTATCACTAATAATAACTAATGAAATTTTATTTTAAGAAAACTAGCGACGAAAAATTTTGTCGCAATCAACTTTGGAATGTCTTGATAAGTAAAATGAATGCAGCGGTAGATTTTTTGACGTTAAATCCGTCGCTAAGTTCAAATAATTTTTCTCTCCCCACTTTCGTCGCTAATTTTAGGCGCTAATATTTAGCGTCAATTTTAGCGATGAATATAAGTTTTGGTCGCTAATCCGTCGCTATATTTGATACGAATTCTTTTGTAGCTTATTTGGCGACAAACTACAAAATACGTCGCTAATTCGTCGTTATTTAGCTATGGAGTATCTCTTGTCATTAAATTCCGTCGCTAAACGCTATTTTTTTGTAGTGGAAGTCGGTCATGCTCGGTCTCGATCTTCAGCGAGCACTTCGATCTTCGTGCTCCATACTTTGCCATTGAGCTCGAGCCTAGTTTATTACGAGCTTACTCTCAAGGCAGCTCCTCGTGTCTACGAAATCTGACATGCCCAATTTCAACCGTATATAGATAGTCTCCATATTTCTTGGAATAAAATGATAAGAAACGGTTTGAGCCTTAATTTTCCGAAACCTCGATCATGATGTCGTCCTTATGACGTAAGTGATGGATGTGATCGAAATGTCGTGTTAGTTCAGTTTCCCAAATCATTAATGCTTGTCAGTTAGCGGTCGGCCACTAACGCCACCGAACCGTCGCGGTGAACCTATAAATACCTGCTCCTTCATTGAATCAAACTTTACTTTTGCTCTAATCAAACCTCTAAGTATTCTTACTCTTTTCATCTCCTCCTTTTCGTCGTATGTAGAACCACCGTCGTTAGCATCGAAACCACCAATTTTTTATCTTTCTTCGATCCTTTTTTACTTATACAAATGGCGAAAACCTCAAAGACTGTACCACAAAAGGAGAAAGCTTCTTGCTCCTCTTCTCGATCGTCCGGCGGCAAGGCGCCAGCAAAGCTGCTTCCCCATGAATATGTTCTCGTCCTGTGTACTCTAAAATCCGACTTCAAGGTCGAAAACCCTTCATCGATCCCGGGCCGATGTGAGCATGTGTCGATGTACATGTGCTCAATATGGAAGAGTCACCTCGATGCTGTGAATAAGGACTGCAACTGGGGTCCCGAGGTCGTGTTGTAAATTCCTGCTCCCGAAGAGAGCATCACCGCCTCTGTGGAGGGGTTCTTAAGTGTTTACACTTACCCATTCACATTGAGTCCCCTCGACCCAGTAATTATTGATCTCTGTAAAAGATATCAAGTCACCCTCGGCCAAATCCACCCCTCTCTATGATGCATAGTAATCATGCTGCGCTTCTTCTCTAGCAAGGCCGAGGGGCTAAAGTTCACTCTAAATCACCTCATGCGGTTGTACCAGCCTCGAATCTACTGAGGACTAATCAGTCTCCAACGCCGAGCAACGAAAGCCTTGATCTCGAGCATCGATGAGGACAAGGATCGGGGTTGGATGAGTCGTTTTATACGGGTGAGGACTTGCGACATTATCCCGGAAGAGAAGATGCCGTTCCCTGAGGAGTGGAACTTCAACCATAAGTGATCTTTTAAACTTTGCCCTTCGTACCTTCTTCGACTTCGCCTGACATCCCCTTTCGATATGCAGCTGTTCCTTGGATGCCTCAAGCGGTACCTGACTTCGAAGATTGGGTTCGGAAGTTAGCCTCAACTTTCACATATGCCGAACGCACATGGCGTGATTTGGCAAAGGGCAGATGGGAGGCCAAGAACCACGGTAAGGATCTCCTTTTTCATGTTCTGAAATACTTTTTATACTCCATTCGTCACTAATTTTCTTTCATACAGGCCTGAGTAAGGATGCCATTTTGAGGCCTTCAAGTGGCGAGGAAGAAACCAAGTCCCTGGTTCCGAAGCCGGGGGAAGATAAAAAGAGGAAAACTGCCTCGCAGTCTGAGGATCCCATGCCCAAACCTCGAAGGGTTAGGAGAGAAGTAATCGCTCTCACGATGGACTCAGTCCAAAAACTGATAGAAGAAGAAGAAGAAGAAGAACAAGAAGAAGAAGAAGAAGAAGAGGATAATGCCCCGGCACTGACAGTCCGACCTAGGAAAGCCGTCGAGGTCACCAAACCTTCTGAGCCGACGACGGCTGCTAAAATCAAGCCTCGTGTCGAGGAGGCTTACAAAAAGAAATCGGGTGAGGATCCCGAATTACCAGAGGTCGAGACCGTTTCTCGGCCATCTGCAGCTTTATCGGACGGGGCCAGTTCTGAGACCCTGAAGATCGATCAGAGCGTCCCGAGTGACTTGCTCAGGACCATGATAGTATGTTACTTACCTTCTCTCCCGATCTTTTCTGAGGAGGCACTAAGGGAAGCTCGAGAGTTGAAGACTCCTGATAAAGGCGGAGGCTCTAGTGTCGGGGATCCCTTTTAGGATTGCTTTACTGAAGTCGATGCTGCCTCTGACATCGGTGATGCTTCTATTCTTTTAGAAGAGGCCCAACGTCTCTTATCTCGGGTAAGAATCAGTTTACTGCACTTCTGTTCTTTACTCTTCTTTTTCTTTTTCTCTAAATCTGACTTGTGTTTTCCTTTTTTGTATAGGCCTTCGCCAAGTTTCGAGCTGACCTTAGCCAGTGTGAAACTGAGCTCTAAAGGGTCTCGGAGGAGAGGAACGCTTTAAAGCTTCCTTGCAGCCAAAAAGACGAAACTATAACGGACCTTCAAGTGGATTTGGCCAAGGCTCATGAGGAAGAGGCCGAGCTAGATAAGCAGATGAGCAACCTTTTGATAAAGTACGGACTCGACCCAACTATGGAAGCTAATACTTCATTATCTCAGCTGCAGTAAAAGGTTGAAAAGATCGAGATGCTTCGGGGAGAAGTCGATCAAGTAAAGGCCGAATGTGATCGGTGGAAGGAGAACATGGACCGCCTGGCTGCGGAAAAAGAAACTACCTCAGCCAAATTGTCATCGACCGAGGTTCAACTTCGGGGTGTCAAAGAGAAAAGTTCGGCCCAAGACAATAGGATCGAGGAGCTTGAAACCAGGCTTGCTAAGGCCAAGGCAGAGATCGAGAAAACAAAATTCATGGCGTACAAGTCCATTGCCATGTACCGGGCCGATGTTGAGGCTGCCCAAATGCAGGTAAGGGAGGCTTCTGACCGAGAGCAATGGATCATTGACTCGGCAAAGTGTCAATCCCGGAGGGAAACCCTCAAGAAAATCCATACTCGAGGTTTTGACCTCTACGAGGAGATAGCCCGAGCCAAGGTGCTTGAGGCCGAAGCCAGGCAGCTTGCCTCTTTTGACGACGAAGACGATGATGAAAAAGGCAGTCGAGATGGATCCGATGAGGGGCCTGAAGGAGAAGTTGTTCCCGAAGAAGAGGTCGAAACTGACCGTAGTTAGGACTTAATTTCTCTTTTTGTAAGACCTTGATCGATCTCTTGTACATAACCTTTTCTAACAATATATAATAGAAAAACTTCTTTTGAATGTCTTCTCAATTTTATGTTCAAACGTGTTTTGTGATTTTGCCTTGTGAAAGTTTTGTTGTTGCAGCCTCCGTAATCGAGTGAGCACTAGTTCGAACTTAGAACAAAACCCTTAGTTTTTTTAGACACGCAAGGGCGAGTCCCCGAACTCAATAATATATTCGAGATTTCGGATGGCTTGATCGATGCCATGATTGCACTATTTTTATAACTGAGTTCGAGTATGTTTAGAACTTAGAATAGAATAAACCATTAGGTTTTTTATCAAATAATGGGTAATTTACCCCTTAAGGTTTTATGGCGGATCCTTGAGCTAAGTTCAAATCAACTTTATTTGAACTCGGAATAGTAGAACCCTTAGGTCCGAGTTGAGTGAGAACAAAGTCTCGAACTCTAGATGTATTGGCCCTTATGCTCTTTTAGGTTGGGCCCATATGGCCTCTAAAAGACGTCTATTATTTCCCCCTTCTGGATTATTTCCCATTGGGGTTTTTGAGGGTCCGATGTCGGTTGAAACCCTTTTGTTTTTTGTGCCTTAACACGTTTGTGTTAAAGATAATTTGATACCTCTTAAGGTTTTTCGAGGGCTGATTTTATCGAAGCCCTTTTGATTATTTGCCGAGGGTAGCCTTTTTTAACCGATTTTTCAGATAATTTGAAGGCCTATCATTATTGAGGAATTCAGATACGAGTTTTAGTTTGGCCGTAGCCTTCGGGTACGCCTCTTGGGCTTATTTCTTAATAATATTTCGAACTTGTTTGAAATGTCAGTCCCCGAGAATGGTGGCCTTGGCCTATAGATCGAGGGGTGCCTCTTTGAGATCTTATGCATTTGTGTTTAGATAACTTGAATATGCCTATCATCGATGGTAGTCCCCGAGTGTATATTTGCACTTTGGCTCTTGAGCCGTTTCTCGCAATATCATAAGCATGAGGTTTGTATAGTAGATAATTTTCTTCGAGACACAAAATGTTTAAATGAATAGAGAATGCTTCTTTGAATAGTTTATACATGCGCACATATTTTGCCATCGGGGCTCGGCTAATTTATATGGACATGGTTCACTTGACCGTTTGGTCCATTACAAAGCTTCCCTAGTGAGGCTCTTTGACATGAAGTACTATTCTCGAGAATACAACATTCGAGGGTGATGCCCTTCAGTATTCTAGGTTGATTGCAAAGAAGCCTTGGATACTATTGAATTGTCCTCAGGTAGAACATAATTGTTGCCTCGTTAAAAACCTCGCCGGGAAAACCCAGTTGGGATAAAAATAGATCTAAGGAAAAAAGAGTGCAACGCGTACTTTAAAACCCGAGGTCTCGATGTCTTTGGTCGAACTCCTACAATGAGTTAGCGCCGAACATATATAAACGAAAGAAGGGAGAAAGTCATACCTTAACAAT